GCAAATAACCTGCTTACCAACATTACCTAATTCCTTAATGGAACTCAATTGTGATTCTACTCTAATAAGTAGTTTACCAAATTTACCCGATTCTTTAACGACACTCTATTGTTATAACACTAAAATTTCCAGCTTGCCAACCTTACCTAATTCCTTAACAAAACTCTCGTGCTCTAAAACTCAAATAACCATCTTACCTACTTTACCTAAATCCTTAACGAACGTCTGGTGCCATGAAACTCAAATAACCAGCTTACCAACGTTACCTAACTCCTTAACGGAACTCAATTGTGGTAATACACAAATAGCCTGCTTACCAACATTACCTAACTCCCTAACGGTACTCTATTGCAATGAAACTCAAATAAACAGCTTACCAACTTTACCTAACTCCTTAACTGCGAAAGAACTCAAATAACTAGCTTACCAAATATACCCGATTCTTTAACGAATATCTGCCCTTTATATTTAAATAACAATAATTAACATCTATCCACCAACTTCTAATTTAGCATTTAGCTGTTTATTTAACTAAAAATTATTTACTATGTATAATTACCAATAAAATAGATTTGCGAACAATTAATGTTCCGTTTTTACTGTTATTTAAATCAAAATTGCGAAATTAATCTTACACAATCTTAATATTTGTTTAATATTTTTATTGATGATTTGGAGGAAAATTAAAGAACAAATATAACAAACATTGCTTCACTAAACAAGTTGACAAAGACATATATTTTAATGCAAACAAACCAGATGGTTTATTTATTAATGAATTTAGTAAAGAAAAAAAATTTGAGATCGTTATTATATCGATTTCTAATATCTGATATGAATTTATTATTTGATTTTGGTTAATGTATTTTTTTTGGTCATACATCTTCGCTTCGGTAATGAACTGATAAATTAAGATTCTTTTTTTTCGTTAAGTTATTTGAGATTGCAGAATGTTAGTAATCCTTCATTAAAATATTTCTTGACAAGAAATTGAGTTTTATGATTAGAATAATTTATTTAAATTATAAATCATTCTAAAAAATTCTGTTATTCCCTTATTCTTTAACGAAAGAAACCGTTACTTCGTTATAAAGAAAAGATTATCTTTTCATGCTTTTTCATTTCTGATTGATGCAATTTCGAAAACTAAAAATTTTGGCGCATCTAAAATTTGACTAATAATGTGCATTCATTCATTCATTTATCAGATTTTGTAATCCCATCGTAATGTTAGTATTGTTGATTTATTATAACAGACTTTGTTGAAGTGTATCATATTATGACTAAATCACGCATTTATCGTAACTTTTAGCAATGATTTAGGCAATGCATTCGTCTACATGCAGTTACTGTTTTTTAAGACGACCGTCATCAAAATTTGCGATTTCATTACTAAATATTATCGAGGTTGTTAGGTAATTTAGTGAATATTTATAATTGAATTAGTAATAATATCTTATCTTTAATATTTCATTGTCAAATTGTTATTCATAAAATATTTATTATCGAAATATAAACTGTTTAAAAAAAATTTGTGACGAAGCAATAACTAATACATTAATACTAATAAAATAATAAGACGCTAAGAAATGCTAATAAAATGAATAATAAAATGTTAATAAATATTAATAAAAATATTAATTAGAATTAAGTTATTGATGTTATATAGCCTTGAAAAAATATAAATGCTTATAGGAAAGATTCGTCGCGATTCATTTATAATTCGGAGTCTATACATAGGGCATTCTAGTTAGTAATTTCGAACCAATCAACAATAATAAAAGCTAAGTAGTGATCACCCTTTTTTGACTAAATATTGATCACAAAATTGCGAAACTTCCATTATCTTCAGTCATTATTGAAAGAGTTTCGCCAACATGTAGACGGTGTTGTATAGTAACACCATTATCTTCTACTAAAAAGCTGGCATATTCATAAAAATGATATGAATGGCCATAAATTACCGAATCATATCCCATATCTTGATATGATAATGCTAGTTCTGCACGAAAAAAATCATAATCATCCGGCAAAAATTCTTCAACTTTTCTTCTTGATATGTTTTTCTTCAAGGCTATTTTCGAGATATATTTATTCAACTGGTAATTGAACTAATAATATAAGCAAAATATTTATTAATTAAGATTTTAAGAATACCAGTTCATATGTAAATTGTAACAAACCTTCACTCATATTTTCACAATCAAGATCATCAAAAGTTTTTTTGGTAATAAACCAATCATTCATCAACCGACTTAAGTGATGTGGAAGGGTTTTTAAAGCATTATTTGTAGAAGAATATCGAAAATCAATACCTCAATCAAGCAAATGCCATATTGCAAACAATGTTGTATATTGTTTTAATAAGTCGAGTTCTACATTTTTCCGATTTGTTTTTGGAATAATATATTTGAATATGCGATGCACCATTTCTTTTGTCCTTACACCTGTATTTAATAATGTCGCATAATTTTGAGCATGCTGTAAACATGGGTATCCGGACATTTCGCCGAATCCATTTCGTCAAAACCCACTTCGCCGAAGCTAGTTCACCAAAAGGACTCTTCGCTGAATGACCACTTTGCTGAATGGAATTTTCACAGAAAGACGTTTTCGCCAAAATACCATTTTGCTGAAAGGTCACTTCACCAAAATGTTGTTTTGCCGAAATGACGTTTTGTCAAATCCTTTTTGCCGAACAGATACATTGCCAAATCTGTTTCACCAAAAGGACATTTCATTGAAAATGACTACTGCGTAACATTGTTTAACTTATCATTTTTAGGTTCTACATTATAAAGTAAGTTTTTTCTTAAAATTTTCATTGGAAATAATAAAAAAAGTTCAATAAATCTGGCAAATTGCTAATAACTAACAGCGAATTATTTTCGTTTTCAGAAAAATATCCTTTCAGTAAAATGGATTCAGAGAAGTATCCATTTGGTAAAACAGATTTGGCAAAACATCATTTCGGCGAAGCGTTCTCTCAGTGAAATGTTCATTCGGCAAAATTTCTTTTCAGTGAAAGGTTCATTCAGCGAAATGGACATTTAACAAAGTGGCCATTCTGCAAAATGTCCTTTTGGTGAATTGGCTTCGGCAAAGAGGGTTTCAGCAGAATGGGTTTCAGCAAAACGTACCATAACTATAAATATACAAATTCAGAAGATTCTCAAAATCTTTGAATGCCTATATATTTTGTTATTAGTACAATTTGTAAATTTTAAAATGTATTCTAATGATAAATAAAAATTATAATTACTTGTGAAAATAAAATCCTTTTATTATCTAAACATTCATATAACTTAATGTAATCCTCTTCTTGTAAATGAATGCTTAAATGCTATAGTTATTGTTTTTACCATTAACATCTAACATTTTAACCATAGTTTCATAGCTAAATCATTACAAATGACACCTATTCAGATTAGAAACTTGTAAATATTCAGATTGTTTAAAGTGTTTAAATTTCAAAAATCTATTTAAAATAAATGGAAGCATCATAGTAAGATGTAAACAATTTGATATCATAAAGCTGTCAATGTGAGATATTGGATTTAGCAGTTTTTGCCACATTCTTGAATATTCAAATGATTTTAAAATACTATGAATTCTGTTTTCCTTCTGGTGAAAATGCTTCAATCATTATTTCAAGAAATCTTAATACCTTGTCAGCTGTAATATGCTAAATGTTTTGAGGTAATTGAAGGTATCTTTTCCATTGTAAATGGTATAATATTGTAGGTTGTAAACATAATCCATATCTACATTATTATAAACATTTATGATTAAAAATAAAAATTATTTAAAGTAAAAGATTACATTTTGAAAGTGACAATTATTAAATAACGAAGCTTTTTCTTTACTATTTTTATTGAAATGCAAATTAAAGTAAATCTTGTGATTCAAGATTTATAATTTGAGAAGATTGTAATAGTTTCTTATTGTCATCTTGAATTTGTTGTACAGGAATAAGATTTCTTTTCAATGTCAGTATTTATAGATGTTTTAAGTTGTAAACATCGATTATTTAAGCTCACGAGCAGTATTAAATTTTACGGTCTTCTTTGATTTCATTTTTTAAGAAACAAATTAAAAAAAATTGTAGAAATATTATTTATTAATGTAAATAAAACACTATTTTTATGTTAAAATAACATGTGACTTATATAATTCATGTGATTTTTCTTATCACGAACGTTAGTAATCAGAAAATATAATAGTTATTTACCGCTAAATTGCTGATATCATCAGAGTTATGGCTGCACTGTGATGCTTGATGATATCTCTGATTTTACGATAAATAACTAATACAAATTTATCAAATTAATAAGAAATTTATAAAAAAATTGAACGATATCTCAGCGTCATATCGGTACATGCTGTCATCTAATCAAAATAAACTATGCATATTCACATAAAAATTTATGAATAAAGTTTTTTTTTATTATTGATTGATTCTTTAAACTGTTATAGAAGATAATTTCCCTTAAAATATTTGAAACATTTAAAAATTAATAACTTACACACCATTAACATAAATGTATATGATATCTCTAAGAAACATATAATACCTCGCTAAAAAAATTCAAAAAAATTTTTTATTTAATTTTGAAATGGAAATTATTTTTTTTTTTTTAAAAAAAAAAAAGCAATAATTAGGATATTTTTGCAGAATTTTTAAAGGAAATTATTAAGAGATTCAAGAAAATTCTTGTAAAATTTCTTAATGCAAATCTATAAAAACAATTGATTAATAACTTATAAAAAGACATAATAATAATGTTAATTTCATCCAAAGAAACTATTTTTGCTCATAAACAGCCTTCACTATACCTGTTAGCCTTTGTCGAACATATCGTTAGGATGTTAATTGCGTTATTGTCAAACCTTTGCTAATTATAAATAGACTACAGCTTCACTTTATAAAGTAGTACTATTTGTAGAAGCATCAATAAAACATTTATCAATGACAAATGACATATTATTTTATTACTAAAATGATAAATAACCTGAGTCATTTAAATTTAATGTTAGCCAGTACTATAGTTTTAGCCTGCATTCCATTTTTTTTTACTTTTCAATTGGAATCACATGATAAAGTATCAACCAATCAAAATCAAATGACTGAAATAACCAATGATTAGTCAAATCATTTAAATGGTCAAATAACCAGGTTATTTTTGAATACTGCTTTTAAGTGTTCTTTTCTATTTGTTTTATTGTTTCAATTAATTTTCAATAACCGTATATCAGAATCAGATTTTATTTATAATACGATGTTAGTGATAATCCATTTACGCCACTAAATGACTGCGCCAACTAACGTCACCAATGATCACTAGGAAAATCGTGATCATCATTTTTACTGCTATCACAGTTATCGTTATGATATTTATTTTCTTTACTATTATATTTATCATTATTTTATTTACTATATTTATTTTCATAGTTATATTTACTTTCACTATTATATTTATTATCTCTATCTTATAATTGTATTTTATATAAATATCCTGTATTGTCGTCTTGACAAACTAACAAAGTTTCAATCATACAATTAATAAAGTATAATCTTAATAATATAAAAACTATATCTTTGCCAATATCTATTTCCTTAAAATATAAATCATCAATAAAGACGACCTGACCCTTCAACTTAAATAAATTTGTGTTTATTTCTTTCATAGTTTATAACTTAAACTCCCTGTTAGCAAATAAGCTTTGTTATTCTAATGATGTAGTGTTTAGGCATAACAAGTAGTGATTTCTGCCAGGAGAATCTTTATTGAAGATATACACAATGAACCGCTGAAGAACTAGCGAAATGTATGAATTTTAAGGAACTTAAGAGAACTACATCAGAGCATATAGTTAGACATTACTTAGATGAACTTCTTAACTAAGATTATACTTGTCCTTAGTGTTATCCACCTCCTCCAATCGAAACTCTTTCCAATAGCTTTAATAATTTCTGAAACTGATTTAGACGAGAATATCAAACAGATACCTTTACCTCAAGAACTACCATTGCCTTTAATTTATTTGAACAACTTAGTAATACCCCTGAATCTGAACATCGTAACTCTCGCTTAATAAGAGTTATTTATTAACTTCTTTCTAGTATTCGATATCGTGTTCGACCTTTTTCAGCAGACGTAATATACTTATATATACAAGGCATATCATTTCGAACAAATTGTTTTCAACAACCTATTACCTTATCTATTTCTTCAAGAGTATATACTGAAATCTTAGAACAAGATCTAGTAAGGCCTATAGCAGATCAACAACTATTACAACGTCTTGTTGCTTCTTTATCACCTTCTGCATCTAGCTTATCAAACTCATCCCCTAATTCACTCCAGTCGAAACTAAAATCATAGCTACAGAAAACGAAATGAGAGCTATTTTCCAAGAAATTTTTGGGAATAATGAACAACACTTGACAGATATTAGTGAACGACTCTGACTAGCTCAAAGAGGAGAAAGATCCACTATTAAAGTTGACTATTTTTAAGGAGCTAAAAATAAAGATCCTGTAGAATGGCTCACTGTATTCGAAAGAGCTGCCATTACTAACAGATGGACCACTGAAGCATAAAAGAAAGCCCTCGCTGGAGGACATCTTAAGGATGCAGCAGCTGACTGGTTTGATAATGTTACTACTGCTATGGGAGATAATTGGAATACTGGAACTAATGGTGGCTAAAACTTTGTAGATTTATTTGAAGCTCGTTTTATTAGTGAAACTAAGAAAAATCAATGTTATCAGGAATTAACTTCTCTGCGACAGCAAACAGATGAGTCTGTAGATTCTTATGCTAATAAATTCAAGAAATTGGTGACTCGTGTAGGATTAACAGATGAAGCACAAAAGAAGAGGATATTCCTTATAGGACTCAATCCTGCTTATACTCCGTTAATCTACTCACAAATCCAGCTGATTTAAACGCTACTATAACCTCTGCACAAATCATCGAAATTGGATACAATTTCGCCTCTGAAAAAGCCCCTAAGGATATTAGTATTACTACAGTCTCTACTTCTAAAAATGTGGTTACTAATACTAAAGTGAATGAACTTACTAAAAAATTGGAACAACTATCTATCAATTATGCTAATTTGACAACTGCCTTATTAGCTCAGCCTTAACAACCACCAAGGAGATGAACAGAGCGATCCTACAATGATACTAATCAAAGATCTAGACAAAATATGTCTTCCATAACTTGTTACAATTGTAACAGGAAAGGCCACATAGCTAGATATTACCCTCAACCTTGTCAACAACCAAGAGAACCGATAGAAGACCTTATTATGATAATACAAGAGACGTACATCTTACTAACCAATATTATGAGAAAGAATATAATGATGAGGAATATACTTCAGAAGAATATTATGAAGAAGACGAATATGAAATCTATCTTAACACTAGGTCTGGACCTTACCCAAAGAATGCTGTGTCAAAAAATAAAAGAAGACCAGTAAAGTTTCAAAATCCACTTAAAATAACTGTTAAAGAACTAGAAATGGAAGAACCAACACCAGAACCCGTGATCGAACCAGTTAGAACTGAAAAAGCATTAAAAGTCCCTAAAAGAAGGTTGCTACCTGCCCCTATTAAACAACTAATAGAATTTAATATCTCAACCTATTTGCAAAACTTATCATGCGGATTATCAGTAGAACAAGCTGCACATGCTATTCCTAAATATCGTTCTGGTTTAGCTCGAGCTGTCAGACACTCAAAAGAAAGAGCCACTGATGAAACTAAGGAAGCTAATCTAGTAGAAAGTGATGATGAACCAACCTCTGCCGCAAAATGTACTTTGAGGATTAGACAAAAAGCTCAGACTGCAATTATCGATAGTGAGGCTGCTACCAGTATTATAACTAGAGCCTTAGTGGAAAAATTAGGATATAAAATAAGTCGACCATCAACATGATAGTAGTAATAGCAAATAGTGCAAGAACTCGTTCCCTTAGAATTATTGACAATGTACTAGTAAAAATTGGAAAAATTAATGTATCCACTTCCTTTCAAGTACTTGAATTTAGAGATGAAATTCTTATACTTAGAAACGATTGGCTTAGAATAACCAATACTACTATGAGTTAGAACAATTCATCATTACTATTAAACGAGATGAAATTACCATGAAAATCCCCATTGCATTTACTAAGACAGCTAAAGTTGTGACTCAGGAAGCTGAGGGTGAATACGAAAGCGAAGAATATGAGGACGAATATTTAGAAGAATATCCCATTTATTTATCTGACGATATTAACTCAGAAGGATCAGAATTAGACGATAAGTTAGAATTTAACCTATGGTCTGATCATTACTTTCCTATTTAATCTGAAGAGGATACTGATAATAACGAAGAATTAAATGAATAGACAGAAGACAACCAAGCTGCCTATCTTACTAAATCATAGGATATACTGCTAAAACTGATCCAATATACTTGGAGCAATTAGGATTACTGGACTATCACCAACAGCAGACTTTTATGAATCTTCTAGAAGAATATTATGATATTTGCGCAAGAAGTTAAACAGATATAGGACGAACAACAGAGATCAAGCATCGTATCTATACTGGAACAGCTATGCCAATTGCTCAAAAACTATATCAAACGAATCCTGAAAATACCAGATTCTTGAATCAAGAGCTAAAGAAAATAGAAGAAAATGGTATAATTTGACCCTCATATAGTCTATAGGCCTTACCGGTCATAATTGTAGGAAAGAAAAGAGGTGAAAAAAGATTATGTGTTAATTATCAGAAAGTCAATGCTGTCACAAAAATTGATGCATATTCATTACCAAGAATTGATGACTTATTGGACTCACTAGGTGAAGCAAATTGGTTTCTACCCTCGACTTGGCTAGTGGTTATTGGCAAGTAGCAATGCATCCAGATTATATTGAGAAAACTGCTTTTATTACAGCAAATGGATTGTACGAATTCTTAGTCATGCCCTTTGGTTTAAATAATGCATCTGGAACTTTTAAAAGGCTTATGAATTGGGTTCTCAAAGACTTTCTTGGATTATTTGTATCAGTCTATCTCGATGATGTAATCATCTATACAAAAGAACCTTTTGAATTACATGTTGATCATGTTAAACAAGTGTTTCAAGCCTTTAGGGATGCTCGACTTGCGATAAAATTAAAGTATTATTTTTGTCAACCTTCCTTAGCGTCCTTAGGACATATCGTAGGATAAGGAGGAATTCAACCTGACCCAGAGAAAATCAAGAAGATTAAGGAATTTCCAGAGCCAAAAAGTCTAACTCAACTACATGCTGCATTAGGACTATTTGATTACTATCAAAATTCATTAAAGATTTTGTATGACATGTTAAACCTTTGACCTTATTATTAAAGAAAGACCAACCTTTTGAATGAAAAGAAAAACAACAACATGCCTTTGACCGACTAAAAGAAAGGCTTATTAAAGCATCAATCTTGTAGTATCTAGACTTTGAAATACCTTTTATGTTATATACTGATGCTTCAAAGAAGGGATTAGGTGCTGTACTATCTCAAAAGAAGGATGAAAAAGAATATGTTATTGCATATGCTAGTAGATCAACCAACAAGACTGAGGAAAATTATCCCATCACTGACTTAGAGTGTCTAGCAATTGTTTAGTCAATTAAGCATTTTCATCATTATCTTAGTCGACCATTCACTATCGTAACTGATTATGCTGCTCTAAAATAGCTAAAAACCTCTAAAATGCCAAAAGGAAGACGTGCTAGATGGATCATGAAATTGCAACAACATCATTTTACTATAGAACATAGAGCAGGAAAACATAATGCAAACGCTGATGCATTGTCTCACATGTATGATGAAAAAACTGCTGAATGTTTTATTATTGATCTTACTGAAACAGATATAGCTGACGATAAAGATGAAAACATTACTAGAAAGAAAGATATAGAATGGTATATTTCTTCTCCCAAATCTGAAGAAAATGATGAATGGTTCGAAGAGAAATTGTCTTGACAATACTCTAATACTGTCTTAATTATTGCCATTGGATATAAATCCCCTAGTGATGAGTTAGAGGAAATCTACCGTGAAAATATAAAAATTAAACAAGTAATCACTGGCAACCCATCACCAGAGGAAGATCACAATGCATTTTCTCATGTAATACTGAAAACCATCATGTTCACACATATTGCAAGGTATGTAAGAAAAATTTATTGTACGGAACTATCATACATGACTATATCATTAGATATGGTTTAGGAAAATTCAACCAGACATGAAACCAGAATACCTAATTAATAACATCTGGTGGAAAGAACCTCTCTTAGTACAACAGGAAAACCTTCATGCACAATTACACTTTCATCTTGGTGACATTGATAATGCACCTCTTTTCCTCTTATTAAATTAATCATTAATATAACATAAAAAAAAAAAAATTAAGTGAAAGCGAAAGTGTTTACAGCGTGATAAACAGCTTAAATTTTTTAACCATGAAAGATCAACAATATAACCAATTATTTAATTATTTAACTAACCAAACATACCCCACTACCTTTAATCAAATACAACAACACAAATTAACTGTACTATCAAAACATTATATTAATTTATTATATAAAATTAATAGAATAACCCAAGTAACCCAATTAGAGTACTCAAGAAAACAGAACTAAAACCTGCACTTTACATGTTTTACAATGATCTAACTGTTGCTTATAGTTCAAAAGAAAAGATGATGGAGAAAATTAGAAAATGTTTCTATTGGCCTCAAATGTTTGAAGATATCAAGAACTATGCATAATCATGTGACTCTTGTCAGAAAAGAGGAAGAGCTTCAAGAATAGAACCTTTACATCCTATTCCTATAGGACAACCTTTTCATCGTATTGAAATAGATTACGTTAGACCTTTATCAGTTTTAAGTAAAGAAAATAAGTATATAATCATTGCTATAGACTATTTAACTAAGTGGCCAGAAGCTAAGCCTGTAAGGCATAATGATGCTAAAACAACTGTACAATTCGTATATGAAGACATAATTTGCCGACATGGATGTTCTGGAGAAATACTTACTGATCGTGGTACTCATTTCAATAACCAACTGTTATATGAATTACTACAGAAATTTGAAATACCTCATAGAATGTCGACGCCATACCATCTTCAGACTAATGGATTAATTGAAAGGTTTAATAGAACTTTAATAAAACCCTTGCAAACTGCTACTAATCACCAAAGAGATTGGGACTGTTTTATTGCCCTGCACTTTTCGCCTATCATACAAATGAACATTCTGTTACAAAAATGACGCCCTTTTTCCTCATGTATAAATGAGAAGCTAAATTACAAATGGATAGTACAGAAATAGAGGAGGAATCCCTTTTGCTTAACCATGTAAAAAAACAATTATATCAGCTATCAATTATTCGTAATACTGTTCAACAAAATTTGCAAAAAGAACAACAAAAACAGAAAGATCGACATGATGAAAAATTAAAGAAAATTGTGTCATACCAAATAGGCGATCAAGTTTTGTATTACAAAGCAATGTTAGATAAGCAGTGGTCAGGAAAACTAGACCTAAAGTGGAAAGGACCATACTATATACATGACATAATTGGGAATAGAGCTTACAAGATTAGAGAATTAAACGGGAAAGTCCTAAAAATATCTGTAAATTGAAGTTTATTAAAAATCTATATAAATAGAGTAGATATTGATTGAACTTTCCCCTTTTCTCCAAAACTCAAAAATGGAACTATATAATCAAATCTTAACAGACTTACAACAAACTAAACCACTTTATCCAGATATTCTATCTCCTTTTTATCAGCACAACAATACTGCTTTACAACAAGTAAAATCTTTACTTCGACAACTCAGAAGAGCAAAAAGCTTAAGAAATCGAGTTGAAATATTAATAGTTCTTTAGCATATAGGAAAGGCTATTGAAACTAAAACAGAATCACTAACCGAAAGAGCTCAATGTATAAACCTTCTCTCACCATATTACCGAAAAATAGTCATACGAGTATATTACCTATATGAATTAATTGGAATAGACCAAATTGCTCGAACTAAGCATATAACTATAGAAATGCTCTCTCATATTAATTGTGAACAATATCAATAGCTTGTGCAAGAAGCTAGTACCATCGCAGGAGCTCAGATGTTAGAGGAGAAAGTTGTTAGTGATAATCCGTTTGCATCACTAAATGACTACGCCAACTAACGTCACTAATAGAGCTCTAAATCAGGTCAGGTCGACCTGTTTACCTGACCTGAACTGACCTGAAAATTCAGGTCAGGTCAATATATTTTCTGGTTAATGTCAGGTCGGGTCAAAAGGTCGAATCGACCTGACCTGACCTGATAAAAATTTAGGTCAACTAATCATTCTTCTTGAATAATTTATTATCGTTAAATTAGAAATAACAAAGTTGATTAAATAAATTAATAATTGTTTATTATATTATTATTTATATTAAATATTTTTTTTTTTTTTGAAGTTGCAGTACTGGTATGAGGAGTCATATTAACGGATAGTACATATAAGGTTATTACAACTCTCAACTTATTCTAAGTCATCCTTTAGATCATGACTAGACACATTCGTTCTAGCCAGAACCTTATCCTGTAGTACTGGTCTGAAGATTACTACCTAAGTCGACATCCCCAAGAGCTAGCTCTCAGGTACCTAGACCTCAGAACCACTGTCAAATTTGGATAGAGGGATTACTTTCAGCCACAGGTACTTTGTCAGTTTATCTCTGTACTTACCAACACCATATCTGGATCACTATTACCTCTGCCCAGTATCAGGATATTTAACACATGATCAGGAAGGCTTAGATGTTATCATCTTTATAGAACCTCAGAAAGGTAGGTGTTTGTCGTACCCATATCGTCAAAATCATTCAGAAATTGAACCCGGCCTCTACCCTAATAACAGCTCGATTGGAGGATATTGCGGCAGTGCAATGCAGTCTATTATCAATCATAATCACCTCGAAAACATCTCGAAATGTCACCCAATCTACTAATTACTAGTTAATCACTTCTTTACTTATGTAATGGCCCTGTAATTGAATACGTGAGACAGTACCCATTACAGGCCTATTATATTAAATATTTTTTTTTTTTTTTTGCAGTATTCAGATACCGGTGAAACCGGTAGAAACTGACAGACCTGTCGAATATGACATATATGCTAAATATGCCAAATCTGCCAAATCTGCTAAA